GCTCTCCCCCCTCCCCCCAAATACCCAATGTTTTCAGGATTTTATTTCTTCAAGAATTTAATTTTTATTTTAAAAATTTACACAAATCCAAAGGAACTAATGTGTTGCTTTACTTTTTTCACCCAAAAACAACGTTGAATTTTGTGTTCCATAACTAAAAAGAAAATACTCTTTTTTGGTTTTAAAAAAATACTCTTTCTACAAAACATGAAAAGAAATTACTCATTTTGTTAAAACGAAAGAAAATACTTTTTCTACATCATGAAAAGAAAATACCCATTTAGTTGAAGTGAAAGAAAATACATTTTGCTACATCATTTTTGTTAGAATAAAAGAAAATATTTTTTCTACATCAGGAAAAGAATGTGCTTTTTTGTTGAAATGAAATACTTTTTTTCTACATCATTTTGTTGAAATGAATAAAAATACTTCTACAGCATGAAAAGAAAGTACTTTTTAGTTGAAATGGAAAAAATATTTTTTTAGATCATGAAAAGAAAAAATCCATTTTGTTGAAATGAAAAGGATAGTATTTTATCTACAAATGAAAATAAAGTACTCTTAATAATATTTTTATTTTAAGATGGATGGTGGGGGTTGGGGTAGGGGGGAGGGGGGGTTTGGGTGGAGGGGGAGTGAGGGGTGGGTGGGGTTTGGTAGGGATGGGGAATAGGGTAGGGAAGTGTGAAATAGAATTTTGGAAAATGGTTTTCCTTCTTTTGATAGGGAAAACATTTTGGAGGAAAATGAGTTCATAAAGAAAATGGAAAACATTTAAGCCAACCAAACATGGGAAAATTGAAAAAATATTTTCCTTCGTACAAAACACACCCTAAAACTAGAGGTTTTTAAAATCTCACACTTTTCCCTACGCTTGATATACAATATCTAACCTGACCGGAAAGACTCGTGCCAAATATTGAACCTAATGTAATTTAACAAACAAATCTTAATCCCTGCTAGGTGGTATCCTATTTATGGATCTTTTACTTCCATTGTGTTTAGTTCTTAGCAAAATCTGCATTGATTTTACAAAATTGTATGTCTTTTGAAGCAACTTCCCTCCATTTAATTTTTATGCCACGTCCCTTGTAAGCACATTCAATCATCATAGTCACATCTACGGACCAATTCATTTGGAGGTATATAAGACATCGTCCAAACCATCTTAAATTACCTCTCATCTTGATCTCTATGAGTGTTACTTGCTTAGATATGATAATTTCTGCTCTTGTTCAATATTGTATGACCACAGATGCATCTTAATAAGCGTATGCCGACAACACAGATTTTGCGAAATGTTGGGTCTTAAAGGACCCATATCCACTTTATAAAACATTTTACAACTGTTCTATAAAACTTCTTTTGTTTTTTCTTATCTCCATTAACCACAAGAACATTGTGATGTGATTTCTAAGAGAAACCATTTCTTCTAAGTACTAATTTACCATTGATTCTTTTATTTAAATGGAAACTAATAGCTTGCTACTGATTACATTAATGTGCTTGATCTCCCAAGAAATGAGAAGCTACGAACGAAAATAAAGTACACCAATGATTGTGAATCCCTTGATGTACAAAGTGATGGAACAGAAAGAACAAAATTTTCAAACTCTCACATGAAGTCATCAAGTAGCTATGACTATAAAACCAATTTAAACCAACTTTTTATTCAAGCATACCTATGGCTTTGTATGTATTAGTATCATCAGAGAGCTGCTTCAGTTCCTCCAATGTCAAAAAAGCGCGCTTCTTTTCTGTTTCTTTAGTTCGCATCTGCGTTTGAACCTACAACACCAAAACAACTCTTATTCACCTTAGATCACAATATATAAATATCTCAATCAACTAGTTCAATTATGCCCAATCTTAAGAACTTCTTTTCCCATTTCCTTTTATTTAGGATTCAAAATTCAAAGGATCAGAAAATCAGAAATTGTTCAATTTCTCCTCTAACCACAATAAAAATGGTTTCTTTTTTATTTAAATCGATCTCATAAATAAAAATTACTAATAAGTTTTCCTTACCTGCTTCAATTTCCCGGTAGTCTCAATCATGCGACCTTGAATTTCAATAAAAGCCTGTTGAAGGAAACAAATGGCAATTAATCCGAACTATAATAAGTAAAAATCCGAACAAAAAAAAATTACATATTTTTGGAAGGGAAAAGCTAATGATATTTTACCGCTCTATTTGCTTCGTCGGCCATTTTTTCAACTTCAATTCCGAGTGCTGATACAGAAGCTGAAGCCCTAGTATAGGATTCTACTTTCTGAAGCTGAATGAGATTTGCCAACAAGAGAGAGACGGACAGTGAGAAGTATGTTGCTGCTGTTACTTTGAGTTGATAATTCCGGCCCAATTCTTGTTTGGGCCTTGATTTGTGGAAATTGCGGCGACTTTTATTTGGGCCTCTCTACAACAAACTCATTCTAATCTGGGAAGGCTAGTGCGTAGAAATGGGGAGAAATTCAAAAATAGCCAGATTTACAAGTGGTCGTTCAAAAATAGCTCAGTTTCAAAAGTAATCGAAATCTAGCCATTTTTTATGTAAAGATAAATCTGAGCGAAAACACTGTTCAAAACCCGGAGAATACGCCAGTATATTATGCTGGAGTTCCAGCATAAAGTATACTTAAACTCCAGCATATTATACTGGAGTTCCAGCATACTCCAGCATAAGTATACTAGAACTCCAGCATAATATACTGGAGTTCCAGCAAAGTATACCGGTCCAGTATAATATGCTGGAAGTTCATACACAAGTGCTCGAATCTCCAGTATATTATGCTGGAACTTTCCGTGTGTTGGAGTTCCAGCATAATATGCTGGAAGTTCATACACAGACGCACCGAACTCCAGTATATTATGTTGGACCGGTCTCTGTTGCAGCAAAATAGTGGCTATTTTCATTGACGTGGTAAACGCTGGCTATTTTTAAATGACCAATTCGAAAATTGGCTAGACCGTGCTATACGTAGAAATGACACCTTTAATAAAATGATATAATAGATTTGTATTACATGGGTGATGGTGACTATTTGGAAATGGAATTTAAATACCTTTAATAAAATGATAAATGTGGCAAATTTATAAGAAAGTATTATATGTTGGAATAATATATTACCGTGTAATAGATTATTAATAGGTATCAAGAAAACAATTTAGATCAATAAATCTGTTAAAGAAGAACCAAATAAATCCAATTGATATCCAAGTGTTGCATTGCATACTTGAGCTAGATCTAAATCAAATTTAAACTAGATTCCTCTACGAACTCATATTAGAAACTCAAAATTTTAAAAGCGATACTAGAGTTCAATTTATTAGTGCGTGAAAGTTTCATTTTATAAAGGTGATAGAAACTCAGGGTCCACCAAATTGGATAGTTAGTTTCTACAGAACACACACACAACAGTAAGTATATAGCACAGTGGAGTTTTACGTGGAAAACTTCATCTCGCGGGATTAAAAATCATGACTTACACTAATATGATTTGAACTCCACTACTGAGCAAATTTCATATTACAACCTGTTGTAACTAGGGGTGGCAAACGGGCGGGTCGGGCCAGATATGAGCGAGTTAAAACTGGTAATTTAAAAAACGGATAAATTATCTGACCCTACCCGTATTTGAGACAGATAAAAACGGGTTTATCCCGCAGATAATATGGATATCCATATTATCCATTGGCTTCTTAAATATGATCACTTATAAGAGAATATTAAGTCTTTACAAATGTAAAAGTTAAACAATTAGTTATCCATTTAGTTAACCATTTTCCAAGTGGATAATATGGTTCTTTATCCATATTCGACCCGTTTTTAAATGGTTCATTATCCAACCCATTTTTTGATGGACAATATGGGTAAATAACTGTTTTCTTTTAACCATTTTACCACCTCTAATTGTAACCTATGGATTAAACACTTAATCCATCACTCACTTGTAATAACTTATTACAAGCCCCTTCGTAATAACTATATTACAAAGCTTACAACTTGACTAACTCTAGCCAAGACACAAACACACGGTTTATAGTTTTACAAAAGGTTTTCTACACAATGCTTCTCGATAAGCTAAGTAGGAATTACAAGTAAATCACTTTAACAAAGGTGTAACACAACTAAGGACATATAATAACTCAATACAGGAAACTGGCCTTCGTTATGTTGTTCTCTGTTCTTGAATCCCCGAAAGTCACTTGCAAGATGGCAAAACACTTTAGAGGAAACTTGATTAACTCTTGAAAATGCAAGTCTGTGTTTTTCCTTTGATTCATGTTAATATTACCCAAGTGATCTCATTTGGATGATGCAAGCAAATACTTGGTACAAGGCATTTCCCATAAAGTGACTGTTGCACTATTTGCACTGTTGCGTGTGTGTAGAGGAACGGTTGCAGCGACTTTACAGCTATGGGAGTTGACTAGCACAATGAGCAAGGGAACTGATGTCCATCTGTTCCCTCTGTCGTTTCTTTGACTCGGATTGTTGAAACTTCTGCCCGACTTGAGATTTGTTGTTCTTGAACACTTTGAGTATGTACAACAGGTTCCCGTCTGGTTCTTATCATTAAGTTTGTCAGATCATTAAAATATAACATGGCACATAACCTATCAATTTCCCCCTTTTTGATAATGACAAACTTGTAATTTAAGTTCCCCCTGAGAACCAAAGTACCATAAAATATTCCTGTGTCCCCCCCCCCCCCCCCAATTAATTCCCCTTTTTGGCATCATAAAAAGATTGGTCACAAGTAATAAGCAAAAAGAAGTCTAGCATGGTTAACTCATGCCTAATATGTGAACACAAACATGGCTAAGAACAGAGCATAAGAGCAAAACATGAATAATAAAAGGACAGGATACTCATTAATTGTAAATGAAAGAGAGCAGAATTAGCAGTACCATTTGTTACACAACCATTCACAAAATAAAATAACTTAAAAAGTATCAGCCACCAAAAGTAACAAAACAAAAGGACCAAAATAGAGGACGGAATGGACTCATCATCCTTCATCCTGAAGAGTTCATACACAGTGGTGAGCATGTCGATTTTTGACTGCTTGACTTGAGTTGTTCCTTCGTGTGCCGTTTGGAGAGCTTCCCAGATCTCTCTGGCAGATTGGCAGGCAGAGATCCTATTGTATTCGTCTGCTCCAATACCATAGACGAGGATCTTTTTTGCTTTGAAATTCTTCTCTATAGCTTTGTGGTCAGCATCGTCGTACTCCTTCCTTGTCTTGGGAACTGTCACTGCTAATTCGCCAATGGTCTTCATAGGAACGAAGGGTCCATCTCAGATAACATCCCAGATCTTTGAATCTTCAACCATGATAAAATCATGCGTTATCGTCTTCCACCATCCGTAGTGTTGACCATTGAATCTTGATGGTCTGTAGGTAGATTGACCTTCTTCAAAGATTGGTGGAGCAGCCATGAGGATGCTTTCTAGGTGTTATCCTGATAGAAAGAACCTGCTTCGATACCAATTGATAGAAATTAAGGGTCCACCAAACTATATAGAGAATCTGGTTCTCTATTAGTTCCCACATAACACACACACAACAAGAGTAAATAACACAGTGGAGTTTTACATGAAAAACTCCCAGCTCAAGGAATTAAAAATCACGACCTACCCTCGTAATATTTCAACTTCACTACTAAGAAAATTTTAGATTACAACCTATTGTAACCTAGGAATTAAACTCTTAATCCCCCACTCACTTGTAATAACTCTATTACAAACTCTTTTGTAATAACTTTATTACAAAGTTTACAACTCGACTAACTCTAGCCAAGACACAAACACACGATTTATGGTATTACAAAAGGTTTCCTACACAATGTTTCTAGATAAGCTACGTAGGAATTACAAGTAAATCACTTTAACAAAGGTGCAACACAACTAAGGACATATAATAACTCAATGCAGGAAATTGGTCCATCGTTATGTTGTTCTTTGTTCTTGATGTCCTGAACGTCACTTGCAAGATGGCAAAACACTTGAGAGGAAGCTTGATTAACTCTTGAATGTGCAAGTGTGTGTTTTTCCTTTGCTTCGTGTTAATATTACCCAAGTGATGTCACTTGGATGATACAAGCAAATACTTGGTACAAGGCATTCCCCATAATGTGACTGTTGCATTGTTGCGTGTGTGCAGAGGAATAATTGCAGCGACTTTACAGCTGTGGGAGTTGACTGGTACAATGAGCAAGGGAACTGATGTACATCTGTTCCCTCTGCCGTTTCTTCGACTCTGATTGTTGGAACTTGTGCCCGACTTGAGATTTGTTATTCTTGAGCACTTTGAGTATGTGTAATAGGTTCCCCGTCTGGTTCTTATCATTAAGTTTGTCAGATCATCAAAACATAACGGGCCACATAACCTATTAATTTTCCCCTTTTTGATAATGACAAACTTATAATTTAAGTTCCACCTGAGAACCAAAGTACCATACAATATTCCTGTATTCCCCCCTCAATTAATTCCCCCGTTTGGCATCATAAAAAGATTGGTCACAAGTAAAAAGCAAAAAGAAGTCTAGCATGGTTAACTCATGCCTCATGTGTGCACACGAACATGGCTAAGAACAGAGCATAAGAGTAAAGCATGCACGATAAAAGGACGGGATTAGAGTTGTCAAAACGGGCTAGCCCAGCCCAAGCCTCTTGGGCTTTTAAATTTAGTGGGCTAGGGCGGGCCGGCCCTCCATCTATATGGGCCTTAAAATGGCCATCCCATCCCATCCCTAAGAGGGCCGCAGGCTAGGGCGGTCCGGCCCTTCAATCTTTTAGAAAAAAAATATTTTTTCAAATCTTTAGATATTTTTTCATGACATAATCCCTTAATCATATGAACGACTTCTGTCTATTTAGAGTGTACAAGAATCTTGATATTTGACAAGGAATCTACTAATTGAAATGCAAATTCTTTATATCTCTAACTCTTACTTTTCTTTCACTTTTCTTAGGTTGAGGGATTGCTTCAATAAGGACCCTTTTAACCATAGATTTTGCCAAAATAATTTTGGGTTTTATTTGGCAAACACATGTTTGGTCATAGATTGTGCCTACATTTTGGCAAAATTGAGCCAAAATATTTCCAAACACTAATAATATACATGTTTTTCCAAAATAAATTTGGGAAATATGTTTTGAAAACTAATGTCCAAACACATTTTCATCTTCAAACCAAACTTCACCCAAATCAGATTTTTTTAAAATTAATTTGGGAATCTATGGCCAAATGCTAGCTAAGTTTATATGTTAAGGTTTTTTAATTTAGGTTTAACATTATTGGTTGATTTCATCATTATAGTCCAT